ATTCTACTCCAAGTTCTCCTCAATGGGAGCTGTGTGTGAATTTGGGAGCTGATGGGGCTGTCAGTGGTGCCACTGACTTGTCTCCCTCTTTCTGATCTGTTTTGAACGTGGTCAGTATATTATAGTATATGTTGCACTAATGAATTTAAAATTAATGTGTTTTGTGGATACTCTTACTAGAGTATGTCTAATAACAATCTGATCCATTTTATGGTTTGATTATAATTTATTGTACCCTTCATTTTTATCCTTATACAACACATACTATGAATAATTTTGTGATCAGAATTCTTCAGATAAGTCAACACTCATGAATGTTTTTAATAGCTAAACATTCCATATGTAGTTGAACCTACAAGAGGATTTTAAATAGGCAGAAGGTAAATGCGCACATTAGGATTTAGCCAGGCAAATGGAAATTACACCCTCATTCCTGTGAGATATGTAATGGAATTGTAATGGCTGCAAAAGATCAGGACCTGAGCTTTAATCCCTCTCATGGGAGAGGGAAAAGTGCCTAGTGAAGCACCGATACCATTTAACAATCAGTACCCCTTTAGAAGCTGTCAGTTCTTCAACATGTATGGAGAGAACAGATAGTGCTAGTCTCAAGGAGGACTCTTGGTCCAGGCTTGACTGCAAGTTCTGGTCATTGATGTCTTCCTTTGTTTTGTAGCAGCACAGTAGTAAGAAGTGGGAAAGTGGGAAATATGGAGTCGACTGAAGTCATGACAAAGTTTTCTTGCCATTACAGCCGGTCCGCGAGTTGCGAACGGTTGACTTACGACCGTTCGCAGTTACGACCAAAAATGTTGTAAATGGCGGACCCTGAGTTACGAATGCAATCCATGCTTATGAACAGCGCGGTCGCGTGTAACTCAATGGGGTCCAACTTATGAACAAACCGAGTTACGACCAATTGCTTGGTCCGTAACTGGTTCGTAAGTCAGAGACAGGCTGTATTAAACCCCTAAGATTGTCACCCAAAGAGACATGGGCTCAGGTACTGCAAACAAGAGTAGAGAATAAACTTGGAAACTATGTGCTCCAGCTCTCACCAGCCCCATGAGCACTTATCTCTCAGTGCAGTTCAACCCTGGGTGGTGGTGTAGTTCCTTACTGTTCTCCACTCCGGAGTTGGTCAGTCTAGGGACTTGATCATCAAGTGGGGCACTGGCGGCAATACCTAAGATGGTGGCAGAGAATCTCAAAACATAAAGCATTTCCTCTGAAACTAGATGCTTGAGAATGAATGCTCTTCCAGTGCCCGGGCATAGTGCCATGATTGAGCAGTCACGTCTGAACAAGGTGTGGTGGGAAACAGTAAGAGGACACAACAACAACAACAAGACCAGTATCATGCTCTTTCTGCAGCTCCTAAGATGTACCTTCTGGTCTTTCATACAGGGAAAACATCTTTCACATACATGTTGATAAAATGTAAGAACAGAATGTAGAGCCCAGGGTATGTCTACACTACCACTCTAGTTCGAACTAGGGTGGTTAATGTAGGCAACTGAAGTTGCAAATGAAGCCCGGGATTTAAATATCCCGGGCTTCATTTGCATCATGCCGGGCGGCGCCATTTTTAAATCCCCGGTAGTTCGGACTCCGTGTCCGCAGCTACACACGGCACGGAGTAGGTAGTTCGAATTAGTCTTTCTAATTCGAACTACCGGTACTCCTCGTTCCACGAGGAAAGCCTAATTTGAACGGGGATTTAAAAATGGTGGCGCCTGGCAAGATGCAAATGAAGCCCAAGATATTTAAACCCCGGGCTTCATTTGCAACTTCGAATGACTACATTAACCACCCTAGTTCGAACTAGGGTGGTAGTGTAGACATATCCTATGAGGTCAGGTGGAAAGAATAGGGCTTTCAAATACTTCTTAGTAGTCAGCATGGGGAGACCAAGGAACAGCTTTGATTTTATCCACTAAATCACATCCAAGTTGCTATTAATTGACTTTTGCAACAGCATTCTGTCTCATTTCCACCCTCGGTTAAACATATAAGAACAAAGTGATCTGCAGAATATCAGCCAAAGATCTAAGTCAGAAAACAGAATGAGATTCCCCTAGGCATCTTCAAAGTAAATACTGAAATAGACAAACTGACCTAGTGCATGCATATTAATGTGCCTGGAGTAACATGCTGAAACAAGTAACCCTTTATCATGACCTGTTTCAAAAGATAATGAGATTAACATCTGCGACATCACAGAGAAGGAGAATGGCTTTAGGAAGAGAGGAAAAAACTCAGGAATTCAGACCAGAAATGGGGGAATTTATTACAGGTGATTTCATGATAATAGTTTCTATGAACTTAAAATGAGGTTCTGCTCTGAAAAGCAACTGTGTAAAAATGGCACTTTCTGACTCAGCAGATCTACTCTTTGTGTACAGTACAGACAAAATAAGTTTATCGATTTAATTTTTTTACTCGCATTCATTCCACAGTGCTAACACAGCTGTGAGTGTGAGAGTGGGATTTCGATTCCTTGTACATCAACAGCATTGTTCACTAAGTTCCAATTAGTTACTCACCCATCCATGCCCATTAAAGACAATGACACTGCATAGGTGTGATTGAGAGCATATTTTAAAGACTGACATTTTATAGGTGTCAATTTGAAATAGTTTTCTCTGTTGAACATTTATTAGTGGTAGTGATGCATGAGAAGGCAAGAACTCAGCTTAATTCAGCCCTCAGGTGGAATTTGAAGCTCTAGATGCTAGAAAAAAGCCTCTTTATCTGTAAGCTGAGCATATTTTTGTTATGAATCCTTGAGAGAAAATAAATATCAAAAGAGGCCCACAAGGTCATTTTTACAGTCATTTTTTCAGAGTGGATTTTCTCTTTAAGAAGTTCTGGAAGGAAACCAATAAATTTTCCACAAGAGAGAAGCAATATAAAAAGCAAGTGGCTAACACCTAAAGCACTGTAAATATACAAACCACTAAAACAGATTGTTTTATAGTTTGGAGCACTCTGGGTCAGCCTCATGTTTCTAATTTGCTGACCTAATTTTATTTTTACATGTACAAATAAACACATTTTGGATGGAAAGTGTTAGCATTCCAGAACAGACAAAGGGGGCATAGTACATACAGATATTGTCCCCCTCTTCCATTTCCCCCAGGTTTGTCAATAAATCAGTCTAGTGTAGACGGGGCCACATTTCTGAAAAAACCTCCTCTTTTGGAACATCCCTTATTCTTCATACAATGAGGTATACAGGGATGCTGAAAGAATGTGTCCGCTTTTTTGAAAACTTTTTTGGATGCATTCCTTGGACACGGCATAGCTCTGCAGTGTAGACATAGCCTAAGTGACACCATTCAACTTTTTCCCGTTGTGACATATTTGAAGTTGCATTTAAACATTTAAGTCTCCAGAGGTGAAAATCTGTCTGACCTTTCCCCCTTCCTTTGTAATATTTATTTTGACATTTTAACAATGGAGCATAGTGGAACACAACCAATTTATTCTGTTTTTGCTGGTCTGTATACAGAGGACTTCTGCAGTGAATTGCTTGTGAAATGGGAGGAACTGAATATGATGAGGTTTCATAAATTAATTTCAAGCTTGTTATAAATGTAAAGGATTTACTTTCTATAGAACAATACTTGAGACTAGTGATGTAGTCAGTCTTTTTTAAAGCAAACCATTATTTCTCTCTCTCTCTCTCTCTCTATATATATATATATGTGTGTGTGTGTGTGTGTGTGTGTGTGTGTGTGTGTCTTATGTATGCACAAAATACTCTATGTATGCATGTTAAAAATGAATATTCAAAAATCTCTTAGCAAGGATGCACAAAGTGGTCCATTGGGTTAGTACATTTGCTTTTCCTCATTGAAGGTCTACATTGTTTGAATTTGTTGTCTTCACCATAGCTTTTCTGCCTAGACTGAAGAGCAGGCACAGAATTCAGGACAACTGCCCACTGTACTAGCTGAGGAGATAAGCAGAACAAGAAAAATGGGGCTGTTGCAGACAGCAGGTTACTGCTGTTTAAGTCGGCTTGCATAGTTTGACCTGAAGCATTATCTCAATTTCAAAGGATCCTCATTCACTCTCAGTTGTAAGAAAGGGTTAAAAGCTGGGCAACAGCCACTTTCATTATGAAACAATTAATTCAATGAACTGCAATTCCCATAGGACTGTGGGACTGCTGCAGCCTTCAAAAAACTCCACTGATCAATGAAAGCAAGCTATTCTCAAAAATTATTGCCAGGGATGAGCACAGTAAAAATGTGCAACACAATGAATAAGTGAAGTTGTTTCTTTTAGAGATCTTACTTCCAAGAAAACCTATAAATAGTGAAACAAAAAATTGCAAGAAGAAGAGATTGAAGTAGATATGATTCAAAATCTCCTCCTTTTGCAAACACAATTTGACAGGCTAAGATAAGAGCCCCATAATGAGCCAACTTGGCAAAGATTAACGAGTGGTTCTAGATAGCTGGCTAAAAGGAAAGGCCCATGCACCTCCAATGATAAAAACATTTAGGACATTAGAAAGAGAACTGTCACCCATGATGAGATCCATTGTGTAGGACATTGTGTCATACTACAAAGTATGAGGATGAAAATGCTAATCATGATATACAATGCTAGTCTGGTTGAGAAGTACAAGAACACACCTGAGCTATTGTGTTCTGGCCAGGCATAAAGGCT